ATCTTGGTATCACTTGGCTTTCATTTATGGCTACTGAAACAAGGTTGGATGTTGTGCCCCTTAGGTCTAATAGTGGGACCCTATTGTTGGGAGACAGATCAGAAAAACAAGTAAACAACTTAGAACTAATACCGGCTTACAGTTGCGTTCAGTAGATTTGACGAGTATGTATTAGGAATGAAGAGGTATTCTGACTTCAGGCACACACTGGCACAAAATCCGAATCGCACGAATGAAGGTCCTTTAAGAAGATCTCAGCATATACATGTAGCCTAGTTATTACAGGGTTTAGCGCTAAAGTGGTAGCATCGCCACCTGTTAGTGAATAAGTTTCCATCTGGTGCTCATGAGTGTAAAACTCCAAAAGATATAGGAAAAAGAACTTGTATCACAGCCGATTACATAACTTGTAAAGTTTCTGGATATCCAGCATATGCTCTTGTCAATAAAGAGAAGCTTCAGTTTGAACTAAAGACCATGTATATGTTTCAGATATGCATCTGGAGTAAGATGTAAGTTTAGTTTTTAGAAATGCACATTTCTTGAATATGCATCAAGAGTGAATGGGCACAAGTTGATGTTGGTGGTGTCTGGATCCCAAGGCAACTAAGTTTGCAAGTAGTATAAATGCCCCAAGTGCTCACTCAAGAAAGAAGCCTCTTGATGTAGTCCATATTTAGGGTGTCAGGCGATAGATAGAGCTGGAGCCCAAATATTTGGAAAAAGTGAAACTGAGCACTTCATTTTCGCCTAATCAAGAGAGGTGAAGGGAATGATGCATACGAATCGAATAGAAATACCCTTAAAAGAGATAAAGTGAACTATTTGGATTCATTAAAGTTAATGGTATACATTGAGGATGAGTGGGAAAGTCCTCTAGGAGGGGGTTTGAACATATGCAATATATACAAAGTAATATAGTAGTAAGAAGCAGTTAATTCAGGTTGGTACTGAAAAGTAACCAATCCCGAAAAGGTGGGATCAAGTCTTTAGTGGTTTAGTTGATAACTCTGATAGGTCCATTTGTACAAAGAATAACAATAAAGAGTGTTATTTGTATTGCATCAAATTATATCCACCAAAATTTTAAAATTCTTGTTCAGGGTTGAATAATATTCCTAGAGATTAAGGGGGATATTAACGCATGGAAATGGTCGTGTGGCCAAACATGTCTGCATGTATACTGGTTAGGAAACATGGCTTCCACGTGTTTGTGTTTATTACAAGATTAGGAGATAACTTAAGGTGGAGAAGACAAATAAAGAAGGAAAGAGAAAATAGAAGTTTGGGCTGCCATGGCTTGGGCTATTCAAGGTGCTGAGAAGCAAAAATCAAAAATTTTGTTTTGGTGTATTATTTCAGTCACTTAAAAAACGGAAACATTTCGATGTGTTTCGGAAACGTTTCGACCTGTTTCAGAAATATAATGAAAAAAATAAAAAATTTAAGAATTATTTTTCTAAAATATTGATCTAAATATATCAAAATATCTTGAAATACCTTCAAACATTCAAATGCATTGAAATATTATAATACATCTCGAAACATTATGAAAGATTTCGAAATATTAGAATTTTGATTCTTTTACTAATTCGTTTAGGTCGTTTTGGAAATAGAAACGTTTCGGATATTTCGATCATTTCGAAACGATATTTTGATCCTTGCTAAGAAGGAATTTTGTTCCAAATAGAATCTGATGTTGTGTGTGTGGATAAGCAAGATTATTTACATGTTTTAATTTTGAATATTTTTGTAAATTGCTTATCTTAATTATTCTGAGTTTGTAATCTTCTTGAATATGTTGTGGTTATTTCAAAATTGCATGAAAATCTTTTATCGTTCCCGATTACTAGTTTGGGGACAATTCGGTACTTACTTTAAAGTGCAGCCATCAGTAAGTTGCCTGCAACAAAGAGTTCAGATGTCAATATTCCAGATGCAGGAGTGGTATGGTGAGGTGAGGCTGTTTGTTGCTTGTTATATTGATGAAATATATTTATTATTTGTTGGCTCTTGTGTCACAATTACTTTAATTTTTATTCGATTAAATTTTCGGATTGTTTGATTATCATGTTCATTTGTACTCGTGCCATATTTTGAGTAGTTTTACTAAGCCAACCCCATATTTACTCCCCTCAGTTGCAGGTCGATTTTAGATCCAAAATAAAGTGTGATTGAAAATGGAAGAATTTAGAGATTTTGGGATTATTTATATTATTCGTGTAAATTAATGATATTTGACAATTGTTATCAAATTACAGAGAGGTTTTATTATATTTGACTAAGGTATTAGTGCTCTGAAATGTACAACTTGATAAAAAAAAAATTCAGTTTTACCGAATGATATGCCGGGAAATCGAGACATTACAAGACCCACCCATACTCAACAAAAATACCTGAGTCCATTTGATTAGGCACCCATCAACTAAAAGATGCAAACAATTGATAGGAAATAATAGCATTTCACTAATAACTAACAATTATCATGAGAATACATATCAATTATAGAAAAAAACACTTACACATATAAATGATTGTAATATGTCAGCCATCGTGGGAGTGATCCATTGAACTTATTTCTTTTCAGGAATCTGACAAATATAATAAATATAAGCTTAGATTACGTATTTCAACCAAGCAGATGATACACAAGAATCATTTCAGCACATGCAATGAACAAACTACTCGTTAAACTTTATATAAGGTTTGATGGTATATGAAGGCAATTGAAGGACATAATTTTAAGCAATGCAAAAAAGTTGGTAGATTTGTGTTGGAGAATATGAATGGACCATGTGGGTTTATAGACAATTCTATGAAGTAAGAGCACAGATAGATCCTTTTTCCATGAGACGGCCAAACAGATCATCCACAAGAGGAAGAATTTAAATCGAAAGAGAAATTTGGAAACTGAACTCTCTTACATGTATTTCAGGGACGACAGATTAACGGCGGGTGGAATTTCACCAATCAAACTATTGAAGCTCAAGTCCCTGTATTGAAAACAAGTAGCAAGTAAGACAACTGAGGAATAAATCAGGACTCGAGTATTCCTTGACGCAAACATTTAGAGCAGAAGCATTTGATGTCACGCCAAGCCTGCCTTCAGTCATGAAAAGTTTGCTGTCCTTTGAAGAATGGCTTGGGATTAAGGAAACGCTTTTGGAGGCAGGGGAGAAGATAGAGTTTAAGATAGGAAAGAAATGTACAACATAACCCCCGCACCCCCCCTCTTCTCTTTCACTCACAAAACAAACAAAAAAGACTTGTGCTCTGATGATATAATAAACTGGAAGCACTCAATAGCTAAACTTGCGGAATCCAGGGAAAATAATAATAATAATAATCATTAACGATAAGAAATAGTATTACACTTTATTGGGGTTAATTTATAGATTGTAAAATATTCAAATTCTTATTCAGGGTTTTATTATGATTGTATAGGTTAGGAGGGAAGCTAATAAGAATAGGATCTTCACGAAATCATCCATCTGTGCATGTACATGTAAGTGTTTTTGACTGTGTTATTAAAATAATTGCATGTGTTACAAGTGTCCAGTAGGTGCATGTGATGTAAGGCCAAGTATCTTGCGTCAAAGTGTACAAATGGATGAGTTATGCTACTTTAACTTAAAATGTTGACTTGATCAATCACTATCATTGATTTAATTGTTGGTTTATTTGCTGGAATCTATTATTTATTCAATGGTTATGATTGATTATGTCAACAAATCAAGTTAATATTTTAAGTCTAAGTAGCATTTTCCTAAATTGATAAGTATGTAGAATGGTGAGTAGGTAAAAGTGAATGTGTTGTGCACGTTTAAAAGCTAGAGAAATTGAGTAAAAGTCAGAGAAAAGAAAAGAAAAGAGCGAGGAAGAAATTGGTATCCAGGTTAATGGGCGTGTCCCGTGATGGTGCCTCCATGATATTTTTGGATATACATTGATTTGTGTGTGTGTATGTGTGTGGGTAAAGACTAGAAGAAACGAAATGGAGCACAAGAACAAATGTTTTCCTTCTAAATCACTTTGGAAAGAGTGTTTATCTTGATTATCATAAATTTGCAATTCTCTTGATTGAATTGTAATTTATTGTGAAAATTTTGAAATTCCTAACTGTTATGTTGTCTCGAGTTTGTTCTGATCAGAGTGCCTTAGAACTGATTCATATCTATTGTAAGTGAGGTTGCCAATAGTCCAAAAGGCCAAGACTCCTATGACCACCGGCCAAGACAAGGGAGGTCAGGTGAGACTAGGTGTCACTAGTCATGTTACTATGACAACAAGCTATGAGATAGTAAGTCGGTTGTTTAAACATCGAATATAATTTATTTGGCTTGTGCATTATAATATCTTTGACAGTATTTTCAGATGTTCTACTGTCTGCTAATCACTTTGATTCCTATCATATTATGAATAGTTTTCCTGAATAGCTATCTTACTCACTGCCACTTACCCCTCCCAGCTACAATTGATTTTGGAGAAAAGATTGGGATCGAAATATTCGAGGAATTGTAGATGTCCAATATTGTTATAATTTTTTGGAATAATTAATCCTTGTTGTAATATATAGCAAAATTATAATGATATATTTTTTTGTTTGTACTCGGGGAAACTTAGAAATCAGAAGAATTGGATGCGAATTTTGAAAATTTCACCAAATAACATTCTGGGAGAGTAGACCGTAACAATAATCCCACTCCCATCCCGCAAAATAAGTGAACTTAAAGGTGAAAGAGAAAGATAAGTAAAGAACAGAAGCAACTAAATATGAATCATGTGCAACTGCATTAGGGGAAAATAAACTAGAAATCCATACACTAGAAAATTATCTTACAAATATGATAGTGACGAGATGTTCCAAATAAAATCAGGAATTAGACCATCAAGTGAGCAATTCCTCAGCGTCCTGGAGGACCAAGATATTTGACATAATCAGAATATCCTATTATAGCCATCACTTAAGAAGAGCAGTCTTTAAATTCACATTAGAAGGCTTACAAGCTTTGCAAATTGGTCAGTCCTGAGATATTTGGGAATGAAATGCCTTGAGGGCTGGCAGTTAAGTCACTAATTTCCCTGAATAAAGAGACATGCAGTATATTGTAAGTTAAAAAACGAAGAATATAGGCCATCAGCGGTTGCCACAACTTACAGAACAGAAAGGTGTTCTAATGTTGAAATTGCAGCAGGTAAAGGCTCTTTAAAATTGTTTCCCATGAGTGACCTGCAGAGATCAACGGTCCAATGTGCAAATAAAATTTGAAATTTCTGTTGTTTCACATGTTTCGATTCTGATAACCATCCAATTGGATTCTTACAGCATCTGAAGTTGCGTCCAGTTGGATATGTACTCGGGTATTGTTCCAGTGAAGTTGTTTTCATGAATAGCACTGCATGGAAAAAAAAAAGCAAGCATTAAAAAAAAGATAAGGTATTGATTGATAACACTTCCTAAATATTTTTTTTGCTTTTTTCAAGTAATGTTTGTCTTTGCATGTTTGCTTTCTTATTTTTATCCTTGTCTGGACTTACCATTTCTTCCAAACTCAATCGCATACAATGTAGTATACAATTAAACATATGCACATATATGAGAATATTATTTACATAGTAAGATTCATATAGATTACTTTACTTGTATAGTCATCGAATATTAAAGGCAATTCACTGTTAAATCTACATCAACTTACAAAGAAGTTAAGTTCTTGAGTTCCTTAAAGCTTGGATGCAATTCACCACTGAATTCATTGTTCATCAGATGCCTGAAATCATTAGCCGGTTGCATTAATCAGACAACACGATGGAACACAAATAAAGTCACTATGTTTTGCGTGACCTTCATTGGCTTGAGTACGAAAACTTCTTGCTGGGCACGGTACAACCACACACACAGAGCAATGACCACCAAGAAAGAAACCAAAACAGCAAGGGAGAAAAACAAGAGCACAGAAAAATATGCTCTTTGCTCAAATTTGAAGCATATCCACATCTGGGGGAACTATAAACAATGCTACGGGTAAAGTGGGTCGATTTGGCACGTGGGACTGGTACAGGTACCATGGTACTATACTTTCTCCGGTACACGGTGCGATGAAAATATACTTAGTTGATATACTACTTTGGGTTATGGTTCGTTGCGTAACTTTTATCAACATTGTTTCCACTAACATATGAAATTATATACCTACAATTTGTTTTATACTTTTTTATATTAGTTCCAAATTAAGTCAAACATTATCCAAGACAACATATCGGTAATTAGGTCTGATAAAGTCGGATGTGACACGATTAACAGACATAAATCGACACGAATTAAGCGAATTTTTGTGAGATATTAACGAGTTCGGATGATAAACGGGTTAACCCGGTAGGCACATTTAATAAACGGGTAGTGTTCAAGTGAAACTTGTAAACCCTTTATCACTTATTTATCCGTTTGAAAAAAATTAATATAATAATAAATTAATAATTATTTTTAAAAAATTAGTCAAAATTAAAATATTATATACAAATATATGGTAAATGAGTAAAGAAAAATCTTAGTTAAAAAAAAAAAAAGCAGTGAACAAGCATTTGAAAGCATTTGGCTTCTTTTTTATGAACATGCACAGTGAACATATTGAGTGGATGAGGGTCCGATGGAAATTAAGTAAAGAGTACTCACTTACCCTCGTTGCAGCGCTGGTATTTTTTGATGGACCAGTACAGTATAAGCTTTTGGCTTGAATCCCACATCGACAAATTCAAATAAAGGAAACCTCCCATGCCTATAAAAGGTTGCAACCCCTTCCCTTTGTCATTCAACCTTCTCACTTGCAAAATCTTTTAATTAAGGAATTACAACTAATGTGGGTAATTAATGGAGTTTAAAATTTTAATAAAATAGTCTTTTTGCGTGGGTAATTTTTTTGTGCTAGTTTTATATAGTTATATATAGTATTTTTAAACAAATAGATAAATGGGTCTAATAGATGGTTTATTGTGTTAAATCGATTTTACCCAACATAATTCATTTAAAATTAAACGGGTTAAACGGATTGTGTCGTATTACCCGTTTATTAAATAGCTCGTATTCGTGTTAAACTTTTTCACCTATTTATTAAATATATCGTGTATGAATTTATATGTTTTTCACCCGTCACCCATTTTTCCCGATGAGGCCCTATAGTACTTCAATATATTGGCACAAAATGCCCAATCGTGAGATATTACGAATCCCGCCGATGTACCGAGGTCCTCTCTGAGTAGTAATCAACCAAGTGGGGGAAGGATCTATGATTTATGGAATCAGGAGGACTTACTTGCCAAAGTCACCAATTTCTAATACAGAAAATTAAGTACAACACATTGAAACCTAAGTAAATATCATTACAATAATGAAATAACTAGTTGGGGTTACAATTTGGGTTAAGGTTATATTTAGGAAGGACTTGGATCATGGGGTATAATTGGAGTTTGAGTTATGATTTGGGGTTGAAAATTTTGGTGATCTTAGTCACAAACCAACTCCGGTTCAGGGATGCTTGAGAGATCTACAATCCCGATATCTATGACTAGAAAAATCCCAATTTTATTTTATCATCAAACTGAATACTCACAATTTTATAAAATGATGTAGTTGAAATAGTAAAGGTGTAAGAAATAAAGAGAGAAGAAGAAAAATAGAAAAGAGTAAATAATCAGTGTGGGTTATGTTGTCCTACACTTTCTTATTTATAGTAAACTAATATATTATAGAAATTCCAATATTACCTTACACAACTAATAATATAAATAAGAATTTTAACACTCCCCCTCAACTAGAGAATAAAAATAAAAAAATTTCAACTTGGAACAAAGATTATTGAAGATATAACGAACCGACAGTTTGGTAAGGATGTCACCCAACAGATCACTAGACTTGATGTATGGTATAATAATCTCCTTACACATCAAAAGATCTCGAATAAAATATCAATACATTTCAATATATTTAGTCATTTCATGAAATATTAGATTACTGACAATGAAAATACTTGTCTAATTGTCACAATGCATCACCATAGGATAGGGCACACTAATATCAGGAAGTAGAGAATGAATCTACAATATCTCACATGCAATATGAGCTATGGCCTATTATTCAGCTTCTACACTTGAACGTATAACCATATTCGGTTTCTTACTATGCTAAGTAACAAGATTACCATCAATAAATGTATATAACCTAAAGTATATTGTCTATCAATACAACTACCTGGCCAGTCAACATCAAAAAAGCTAATAATAAGCATGAAGAATGAAGGGCGATATAACAATCTCTTACCTAGTTCTCTTTTTAAATATCGAAGAATACGACAACCTCTCAATAAGGTTTATGAGAAGCTCATGAACTAATTAACCACACTAACAACATAGGTAATATTTGGACCTATAATAATGAGATAAATCAGTTTACCAACTAACCTGCGATGGTGCCCTATGTGATCAAAAACTTCACCATTCCAACAATTAACTTAACTGTAGAGTGAATAGGAGTATCAATTGAACGTGCAACTAGGCTCCCAATTTCATATACTAAATCCAACACATACTTCTGTTGGCGCAAACTAGTACCTCCCCTTTGATCAAGCAAACTCAATCCCAAGAAAGTATCCAAGAATACCCAAGTCTTTAGCATGAAATTTCTTTCCCAAATGAACTTGAAGTGGCCAACACCATTTGAATCATTACCACCAATGATAATATCATCAAAATACACAATAAGAATAATAACAAAAGTAGAAGAACAGTGGAAAAAAATGATTTGAGGTTGAATGCAGAAAACCATACTAGAGCATAACAGTACAGAACTTATCAAAATAAGTTTGTAGTGGATCTGAGTTCGAAACCAAAAAATCGCTAAAATCCTTCAAAAAATCGAAAGACCTATTAGATGGTTTCAAAAAATTTCTTAAAATTCACCTTAAATCTCAGGGCACCAAGGCGAGTCTTCCTTGGGAATTTACAAAAATTCTGACACAGTAACCCTAACGTCAATTATCCGAAGCTGATGTCAACAACTCTTGTTCAGGTTCAATAATTTTTGACTATTTTTGACAATTTAAAGGCTTCAAACTTGGATCGATGCTCAATTACCAAGTTGAATTATGGAGTTTTAGGGTCCTTAAGCTAAATATAAAGCATATAACACTACTTATGTTCATATTTTGAAAACATTGCATGATAACTCAACGCAAAAAACATTACCAAACGGTAGCTTATGTATATATTTTTTTCGTTAGGTAGTAGCGTATGTATATTGGTAAGCAATACATTTGCAATTTTTCTCGACTAGTTTTCATATTTAATAAATGTTGCATGATAACTCAGTATCAATGTCGATAAACATGTTTTTCTCAGTATATTCAAATTAACAATGGTGAGAAAAAGTGGGTTATATAGGGGGTAGAGAAAGAATAAAGGCCTTTGGGATAATTTTTGAAAACATGTTTAGGGAATTCAATTAACTAAATATTAGTTAAGTTTACTTAATTAAGATTTTAATTGTTGAATATAAATGTGAGAGATAATTAAAAGGATTAAGGTGCAAGAGAATTTTTTTGAGGGGCAAATTCAAAAATATCTTAGAACACGAATAAAAAATTTTTGCACAATGAAATTGAGTGGGGACAGTTGCCTGCCACTAAGATATGTGGTGGCTGCGCACGCCTCACACTCAATTCATCATATTTTTGGCACAAGAGAGATAAAAAAGTTAGTTGTTTCCACCAGCAAGCAACAAGATGTATAAACATACATAACTGTTCAACAATGGGTTCACGTGCCTTCAATTACGTGGTGGGCTCAGCCCACCCCCAAACCTTCTGGGTGCAAGTGCAACCTGCAAACTCCAAAACAATCACTCTTCGCACATAACGACTCTACCATTTTCTCTCTTATTTGATTCTTATGGTTTGCATTCTTCTTCTATTGCAAACTTAATATGGTATTATTGCAGAGGACAACTTCAACTGTATATCTGATAATGTAAGAGGATGCTAACATTAGCGCACAGGGAGATTTGATAGAACTCAACTTTAACATTAGTTGGTACTATTCAAGCTAATCATAACTGGCATAGTTCGAACTCGCAACATAGCCTATCCAGTTTCGTTGGGAATACGTACAGTCACGCTGCAAAAGCAAGTAATGGCCTTAGATAAATTTCAGACACACATACACATACTGTGCAAGGGCGTCTGCCCCTAACACACACATCATGGCAGGTGCCTAACACCTAACTCAGAAGTTACCAAAATATAAAGGGTTCTTCGCCAAGCAATGCAGATCACACAGATCTGTCACTTTGATTCTCATTAACTCTATCATTCTCTCTACCACTAGTTTGCCCTAATTCTTTCCCATCTCCTATCTCTTTCATCCCTTTGGGTTTACCAATGAGTGATTTCCTCCTTTTATTCCAAGTTTCTGTTTTAACCACTGACCTACACATTGCAAAGTTGGCTAGACATGAAGACATTCCTGGAGACGATTTGAGAAAACTATATCTGATTTTAAATTTGGGTGAAATCCGAATTATGGCTTTAGTCATGCAAGAAATCGGAAACTACAAGCCATTTTATTATAACCTTTCCTTCCAAATTTCAATATGACTCGAATAAATTCAAAAAGAACTTGATATATCATAAGTAGAACTTACTCTTCCAATACGACAATAGTCGGACAACCCCACCCAATTTTTCTAAGATATTTCCTCTGACAAAATGTCAGCAATTATAATGTAAACTCTTTCCCTAATTAAAA